TTGGGTCTATATTCCATCTATGAGAGAAAACATATGGCCTTTGGCTTTCTGAACCTAAGTAACTTCACTTAAGATGATGTTAGTTGATTCTTTGAAAATATAAACAAGATTGATACACCCATAGCCAAACTAACCAAGAGAAAAATACCCAAATTAATAAAACCAGAGAAGAAAAAAGTAATATCATGACAAATACCAATGACATTCAGAGAATCATAAGGAATACTTTGAAGTTATATTCTAACAAACAGGAAAATCTAGAATAAATGAACAAATTTCTACATGCATTTGACCTACCAAAACTGAACCAAGAGTATATAAACCACTTAGACAGATCTATTATAAGCAATGAGATTGAAGCTGAAATAGTCTCCTAACAAAGAACAGCTCAGTACCAGATGGCAAAACTAGGGTTATATGAAAGTACCTCAACATTGTAAAGGCTATAGATCACAAACATACCCAACATCGTACTAAATGAACAAAAAGTAAATCATTTCCTTTAAAGTCAGGAATGAAAAAAGGGATGTCCATTGTTCCCTTTCTTATAGTGCTCCCTTCAATATAGTGCTCCCTTCAATATAGTGCTCCCTTCAATATAGTGCTCCCTTCAATATAGTGCTCGAATTGCATCCAGAACACTAAGGCAAGAGAAATAAACACAAGATTTACAAATAGGAAAAGAAGAAGTCAAATTATTCATATGTTCAGATGACATGATCCCAAAGTTTAAAGACACAACCACAGACAAAACCTCCTAGATGTGACAAATACTTTCTGCAAAGTAGTAGGATACAAAGTCAACATACAAATACCAGTAGCTTTTCTATATACCAACAATGAACAGGCTGAGGAAGAAATCAATAAAACAATCCCATTCATAATAGTCTAAAAAATAAAATACCTAGGAATAAACCTAACTAAGGAGGTGAAAGACCTGTAGAATGAAATAGAAAAACTTGAAGGAAAAATTTGAAGAAGACACTAGAAGATGGAAATCTTTCCCATGTTCATGGATCAGATTGTGAAAATGACTATACAGATATAATATAATACCCATCAAAATCCAATCAAAGTTTTATGGTTTTGCACCTTATGTTTGAGTTTTTAATCTATTTTGAGTTAATTTTGGTGGCTGATGTAAGTTAATGATCCAATTTCCTTCTTTTGCACATGGATATACACTGTTCTCAGTACCATTTATTAAAGAGACTCTTTTACCCATGTGTCTTCATAGTTATGCGTATCTTTTTTATTGTACTTCATTCTCCCCCTCCCCCTTTCTCTTATAACTTCAACTTCCTTTTCACATCCACAGGCTCTCTTTTTTTCTTTTCAGACTGGGGTTTGAATGCAGGACCTACACCTTGAGCCACTCCACCAGCCCTTTTTTGTGTGATTTTTTTTTGAGATAGGGTCTCATGATCAATTTGCCCAGGCTGGCCTTGAACTGTGATCCTCTTGATCTCTGCCTCCTGAGTAACTAAGATTACAGGCGTGAACCACTGGCACCTGACTCCACTGGCACTTTGTTCTTCTTGACCAAGTCTACTCTTGAAACTCTATCGAATATTTTAAGTCATTCATTTATCCTGCAGCTCCATAATTTCTATTAGTAGTTGTTTATGGGTTCTAGCTCTATATTGAAATTTTCACTTTGCTCATAAATTATTTTCCTGATTCCATTGAGTTACATATTTTTTCACTGAACATTAAGATGATTATTTTGAAATCTTTTTCAAGCAATTCATAGATCTCCATTTCTCTGGGGTCAGCCACTGGACTTTTATTTTTTTTCCTTTTATGGTGTAATATTCCTTTATTCTTCATGATCCTTAAAGCCTTGTGCTACTGTCTTCCGATTTGAGGAAGTTCCAGTCCTCCAGTCTTTACTGATGGCTTCAGGAAGGAGAGACTGTCTTGAGCTGTACCCAGGTAGAGATTTGGGGCTATCTCAGGCATTTTCTATGAATAATCCACTCCCCTCCACTTGTTCCATCTTGGGGGAAGGATCTTAGGATTTGTGTGTCTTCCTTCAACATGCAGACTGAGTTCAGTTGCTAAGAGTCTCCTGATTATTTCGCTCAGGAAAGTGCCTGAGAGTGTCCAAAGCTGTTTGTCCTCTCCCAGTTTTGCAGAACTAAGCTGGATGCTGACATTCATGAGCTCCCTGTGGGGGTTTCTGTGAACTCTCTTGAGGGTATCTGCAGAGAGATGGGGACCCCTACTCTTTAGGTGAGGGGTCTAGTGGTGAGGTGTCCTACAGGGTCACGTGTGGACTGTTGTGGGTTCCACAAGTCAAGTAGTAGGATCTGCAGCCAAGTTCTGAAGTCTGTGTGGTGTTTGCTGCATGCTCCCACACCTGTCCCCTCCTTCCATCTTCCCCCCCCTAAACTATGCAACCATGTTGATCTCCTCAGTGATGTGGGTGGGGTGAGGCTGACATGGCCTATTAAGCATTTTCCTAGTAGCTGTTCTGCTCTGGGCATATGAATCTGGTTGTATTGTGGCTCTTTTACTTTGTTGTAAAATAAAGGATCTGAGCTCATCTCCTGAACTTCCTCTCTTAATGTGGATTCAGCTTTTTCTTTAGGGAGAAATTAAATAGTTTTTCTTTCAAATATTTATTTAAATAATTTTCAATTAATAGTCATAAGCATAAAATATGTTATTATGTATGACTGTAAATACTCAAATATGATATTTGACAAGGGTATATTATATTTGACTATAGTATACATCATATTATTGTCTCATGTATAGACTACATGGTTTTTTTTTTATACTACATGTTTTAACATATAGTCATATATATTCATCAGTATAAGATATATTTTTCCATGACTATATATAGTTCAATTAATTTGTTATGATTGCTATTATATTATGTAATTTAGTTATTGTAGTTATTTATAAATTTATAATATGATATATAACATAATGTAAGTGACTTAAAAAGTATATAGTGAAATAATTTTGCTTAAATTCAGTGGGAACAATTGCTCTTTGCTTGGTTAAGGCCTAACTTGATGTGAAGTTGGGTTGATTTTATTTTGGTTTCATTTTAGGATTATTGATTATATTTGAAATATTTGAGGCATTATATAAATATTTTTGAGAAAATATCCATATTTCTAAGCCAAAACAATAAGGAAGACATAATCAGATCTTGTCCATCCTGCAGGTTCCTCTCTCCCTTATAATTATGAGGGGTTGAGTTATTCTTTCCTTTTTAAAATAATACTCATGCCTATCCATATACAATTTCCTTCTAGTTTTTGCAAAGTAATGTAAGTGTTTTTCTTTTGTTTTTTCCCCTTATGGCAGTATATTCAGGAGGGTCAGCCATCGAGAGAAGAGCTTGTGGCCAGCGTGCCATCGTTGGCAGGAACCAGAATACTGTCTCTTTTCTCTGTCTCTGTCTTTCAATGCTGGAGATGGAGCACAGGACCTCATAATACTAGGAGGTGTTCTCTCCTGACTACATCTTCATCGGTCCAGGTCTCTCTTCCACTTAGATTCAGTGAGTTATAGTCATTGTGATGTTAAAAATAATAATTCTACAAGAAATATGTTGAGGAAGGTGCGGTGTTCCATGCCTGTAAACCCAGTTACTTGGGAGGCAGAAGCAGGAGGATGTCATCTTTTGACACCAGCCTGAACAGATTTAGAGAGACTCTATATGAAAAACAAAATGTGCAATCAAAAGGCCCAGGGCATGGCTTAAAAGATAGAGCACTTGCCTATCATGCATAAAGCCCTGGGTTCAATCCCCAGTACTAAAAAAGGAAAAGAAAGAAAGAGAAAAAGAAGGAAGAAAGGAGGGGAAGGAAGGAGGATTTACAAAATAGGTGCTGTTTTTTCACATAATAGGAATGTTTTTTGGGGGATTTTCTAAAAAAAAATTTGACAGATACTAATTGTACTTCTTTATGAGCTAGAGTGTGGTTTTTCAGTAAATTGTACACGGAGTGTTGATCGTCTCAGGATGCTTAAGATACCTGTCATAGCAAACACTTTCATTTCTTTGTGACAAGAACATTCAAAATCTTCTCTTCTAGGTTTTTTTTTAATGAAACTTATTAGGGTGAACATAAGGCAGCCATATTAGGACCATACCCTTCTCTCCCTCTCAGGTGGCTTGCTGGAAACTCCCCATCTGACCCCAAAGACTGACAAAAGGACAGTTGTTAACCTTTTTCTCTGGTGGGTGCCCAACACAGTTGAGCAGCCAATGACTTAACTACAACTTATCTTTCTTGGTTACCCAGCAACAGAAATCCTTAGTGACCTTCCCGGTACTTTTCCACTAGCTCCCTGTATCTACCACAAGCCTGTGGGTGGCAGTGGGCTCTCTTGATAGAGAAGAGAGCCCTCTGCAGCTCTCATTCCCAAATAAACCCTGTGCTGATGTTGGGCTGCCTTTCCTTCCATGCCTCTCTTCAGTCTGACAGAACTGGGGTTTGAACTCAGGACCTTGTGCTTACTAGGAAGTCATGTTAAAACTTGAGCCAAGCCTCCAGCCCTCTTCTAGCTATTTTTAATTACATGATATACTGAGTGATAGAATCCGAGAACATATTCTTCCCACCTGTCTATGGCTCTGTACCTGTTAATCAGTCTCTGCCCCATCTTCTCAACTATAGATGAATAGATATTGGAAATGTGGTACATTTACCAGTGTGGTGACATTCATCCACAAAAGGATGAAGCTCTTTCATTTATGGTAATGTGGATGGAACTAGGTAGTGAATATTAGATGAAATAAGTCAGGCATAGAATCAGAAACACCACATGCTTTCACTCGTGGAATCCAAAAGTCTTTTGTTGTTTTTCATATTGATTTGCAATGATGAGGGTTTGTGTGTGTGTTTGTTGTGTGTGTGTGTGTGTGTGTGTGTGAAGGCATTTTCTGGGTGCAATGATAATAACCCATTTTCCCCTTTCAGTCTCCAGCTTTCTCAGATTCCAATAAAATCTAACTCCAACAACTGCTCCAAATGGATGGATTGGTGTCTGTTAACTTAAGTTGGGGTATCACCTTCCTCCTTCAGATTGGTGTAGGAGTCCTTGGAAATTCTTCCGTCTTTTTGCTGTACAGCTTGACATTACTCACCAGACAGATGCTGAGACCCATAGACTTGATTCTCAACCAGCTGGTCTCAGCTAACAACTTGGTTCTTTTCTCTAAAGGAATTCCTCAGAAAATGGCAACTTTTGAGTTGAAATCTTTCATGGATGAGACTGGATGTATACTTGTTTTTTATCTACACAGACTTGTCAGGGGGGGTCACACTCAGCACCACCTGCCTCCTCAGTAGCTTTCAGGTCATTAAAATTTGTTTCAATGTCTCTGTGTGGGTGAAGCTCAGAATGAGATCCCCAAAGTGCATCATCTTCTGCTGTTTTCTCTGCTGGATAGTTCAGTTTGTGTTAAACATTTCTATTGCATTTTGTGTAACTGGCCCAACAAACAGCAGAAACGTGACTATGGAGATGATATACAGGTTCTGCTCCTCCCCCACTACAGGGAGACTGGTGTTCGTGGTGTGTGCTGTCCTGTTCTCCCTCATGGACGCCATGTGCCTGGGCATCACGGTCTGCACCAGCAGCTCCATGGTCCTCATCCTGCACCAGCACAGGCAGAGGGCCAGACACATCCACAGCAGTGGTCTCTCCCCCAGAGCTTCCTGCGAGATGTGGGCCTCATGCATCATCCTGGCCCTGGTGAGCATGTTTGTCTGCTTCTCTGTTCTGTCTTCCATTTTATCATTTATGACTCTCCCCAGAAAACAAGCTACAGCATCCTGCCTGTCCCCAGCTTTAGTCCTCTTGGCTGTTTCCTCAGCTACAAGCTAATTTCAAGACCAGGGTTCAGTTGCTCAGGTGTCCCCAAATGTCTCCTGGGAACTCCACCTGCCCCGGAGACTCTGTTTTCATTATTTCTTCAGTGAACTCAGAGTCCTCTCCAGACCACAGAGCTTATCCTGAGTCTGAGATGAGCTCATATGCTCCATCAGGCCTCACTTTGCACATTGGTGGATGTTTTTAAAGATGGAACATCCACAGCCATGTATGGGTTCTGGACCCTGTCTCTGCCTTCACAGATGCTCAGAGCTGAGTGGGGAAAATGAGGGCTATAAAGGGGTGTCCACACTTCCTGTTTTCTGTAAAGCATGTCTAATTGACCAAGGCTGCATCTATTCAAGGTGTGTACCACAAGGACTTCATGTGTGCACACATTGTGCAGCTGTCACTACATCAAAATGCCACACATCCACCACAAGGCACATTAGATTCTTGAACCTGTTCATCTGATAAGTGAAGTTAGGACCCGTGTTTCCTGATGGATCAGGGAGGAAGGAGAGGAAGCTTGAGAGGAGGTGGAACTGAGTGAAGACAGAACACTTTCATGACACACACACACACACACATGAACACACCCGTGAGCCCACATATGCACACACACATAAACACAAACAGGCTAAGAGAATCCTGATTCCCCTGTGAGTTGGGACTTATCAGTATCTGTACCCCACTAATAAGCTCACTTCCTCTTCTCTCCTGATCAGAACAAAAAAATTAGCACGAGGACCACTAGAGGGCGAGAGCATCTCATCTTGATTGTATGGCTTCAAAACTACAACCACCACACAAACACACATAAACAACGTACGCACACACACGTGCACCCCAAACCAGAAACAAAACTTTCTTTCAAAAAATACTTCAGGGGGGATTCCAAGATGGCGGCTAGAGGGAGGGGGCAGAAAGCGAGTCTCCTATAGTGAAATCTTGGAGAGACGCTGGAGACACACTTTGCAGGCGAAATCACCGAGAAGAGGCAAAACTTTGACCCCTCCACACCTCCAGCCAGCACAGAGAATCTCCACTTCACGTTAAACGGAGAAACAAGGAGGGCCCCCGGGCCCCCAGTTGACCATGCCCAGACGGCTTGGGAAGACGTGGACAAGGTGAGCTTCGCAGTACCGCAGTATTCCCACAGACAAGCCTGGGCCAGAGCAGAATAGCCCCCCAGACAGACTGACCTCCACCTGGGGAAAAAAAGAGAAACTGAGTAATAAGCAATAAGAACAATAAAGACACGTGGGAAAGAGGGTGGGGCACACTGAGCGCTGAAGATTGGGGGAAGGGAATCCTTCCCGGGACTGTAAATAAACAAGCCGGGCAGGCAGGAGAGGCTCCGGTGGGAGCAGGGGCATGCCCAGCAACCAGGAGTGGGAAAGCCTGTGAGAGTGGTGGAGGGAGGAAAACTCCACAGGAGAGGGGGGAAGACCCACTTCCCACATGAACTGCAAATAAACACACAGGCCTGAGAAAGTGAGTGCAGTGTCACCTTCCCCAGTGCTTGGAAAGAGGAAAGCTTGTAGCAGAGGCTCACGCACAGGAGAACTCTGAGTAAACAAAGCCTGCAGGGCCAGGTGAGTGTTAAGCTCACCCCTGAGATCTGCATAAATAATGCCCCCAGCAACAGCAGGCTGACAGCAGTGGGCAGGCAAGACACAGCTGCAGATACCATTGTCAGAACTGTCTCCAGACTTTTTTTTGTTGTTGTTCTCTTTTTCTCCCTACCTTTGATGAGAGAACAACCGAATTACACCTGCAAGCTGAAAAACTTACTGAAACTGTATTGCATTTGAACTTGGGACACTTGACTACTTTATGCATCCCCTTTGATGAGACAAATACAGAACAACATCTGAGGCACCATCTCCAGGATTGGAGACTGACACGGACACCCAAATTATTAAGACTGAAACTTCATTGCATTTAACTTGGAAGTTTTTTGGTTTTTTGTTTTTTTAAAAAATTTTCTATTTTTCATTTCATTTTATTTTATTTTTACATATATATATTTCTTTCATTTACTTATTTTTTATTTTTATTCTTATCTTTATTTTTTTAATTTTTATTTTCAATCCTCTCTCTGTCACTCTAAGGCCTGTTCAGCTTACTGTTGATTAGTACACTAATGCTTCCTGTTTATACCTTTGAAACTTTCTTGTCTGATTCCTTGTTCTGTTTTCTCCTTCTTCTCTGTTTATTTGTTTTTCCCTTTTCTTTAACTTCTTGCTTTCCATCTCCACTTACCTTTCCATTCTAAATATTATCATTGTTATTATTACAAGCTAGAAAATACTTAATTGCACACAGTACAGGGACAGTAAACAACACCAAAGACAATGACGGAAGACAGAAAAACAGGGAAACCAGTTTCCCCACAGGAAAAAATCAGTACAGGAACCAGAGGGGAATGAAGAAAACAGATACTCGGATCCAGACTCCAACAAAATGAAGATAAATTATGCCAAAGGACCCAATGAAGCCCACAAGAATAATTTAAAAGAAGAACTACTACAGGTAATCAATGAGAATTTTATAGAGATGACACTGGATAGGGTCAACCAAAATGTACAGGAGACACTCAAGAAATTCCAAGACAACAAAAATAGAGAATTTGAAAAAGCAAAAGAAGAAATAAAGGAAACCATAGAAGCACTGTATAAACACCAAAGTGAAACAGAGAACACAATGAATAAACAAATGAACTCAGGACAAAAATAGACAACATTAAAGAGGAAACCACCCAGGATATGGAAAACCTTAGAAAAAAGAACAAAACAGAACTACAAAACAAAACAGAAGGCCAATCCAGCAGAATAGAAAAAACAGAAGACAGAATCTCAGAACTTGAAGATGAAATGGTAATTAAAGGAAAAACCGAAGAACTATTAATTAAACAACTCAAGACCTGTGAAAAGAAAATTCAAGAACTCACCGACTCCATCAAAAGACCAAACTTGAGAATCATGGGCATCAAAGAAGAAGAGGTGTAAGCGAAGGGAATGTGTAATATATTCAACAAAATAATAATGGAAATTTTCCCAAATCTAGAGAAAGATATTCCATACAGATGCAAGAGGCCTCCAGGACACCAAAAGACCAGATCAAGATAGAACTACCCACGACATATCATCATTAAAACAACAAGTTCAGAAACTAGGAAAGAATATTGAAGGCTGTAAGAGAGAAAAAACAAGTAACATACAAAGGTAAACCCATCAAAATCACAGCAGACTTCTCAACAGAAACATTAAAAGCAAGAAGAGCGTGGGTGAGATCTTCCGGGCACTGAATGAAAATAACTTCAACCCCAGGATACTCTACCCAGCAAAACTATCATTCAAAATAGATGGAGCAATAAAAGTCTTCCATGATAAGCAGAAACTAAAACAATATGTGACCACAAAGCCACCACTACAAAAGATTCTTCAAGGGATTCTGCACACAGAAAGTGAAACCCAACTTAACCATGAAAAGACAGGCAGCACCAAACCACAGGAAAAGAAAAAGCAAGACAGTAGAGGATAACTTCAACTTAGGTACCCACAATCAAACCTTCAAACAACTAAGACAACTAAATGAAAGGAATCACCACATACCTATCAGTAATAACACTTAATGTTAACAGACTTAATTCACCCATCAAAAGGCACCACTTGATGAAATGGATTAAAAGGGAAGATCCAACAATTTGTTGCTTACAGGAGACACATCTCACCGACAGAAATAAGCATAAGCTTAGGATGAAAGGTTGGAAGAAGATTTACCAAGCCAATGGCCCCCGAAAACAGGTAGGAGTAGCAATACTTATCTCTGACAAAGTAGACTTCAAACCTATATTGATCAAACGAGATAAAGAAGGACATTCCATATTAATAAAAGGGGAAATAGACCAAAAGGAAATAATAATTATCAATCTGTATGCACCCAATGTCAACGCACCCAATTTCATCAAACATAAGACATAAAAGCATATATTAGTGCCAACATAGTAGTTGTGGGAGACTTTAACACCCCATTATCATCAATAGATAGGTTATCCAAACAAAAAATCAATAAAGAAATCCTAAATCTAAAATATACAATAGATCAAATGGACCTAGTTGATGTCTACAGAACATTTCATCCAACTTCTACACAATATACATTCTTCTCAGCAGCCCATGGAACCTTCTCCAAAATAGATCATATCCTAGGGCACAAAGCAAGTCTCAGCAAATATAAGAAAATAGAAATTATACCATGCATACTATCTGATCACAATGCAGTAAAAGTAGAGCTCAACAACAAAAGTAAAGACAAAAAACATGCAAACAGCTGGAAACTAAATAACTCATTACTTAATGAAGAATGGATCATTGATGAAATAAAAGAGGAAATTAAAAAGTTCCTGGAAGTCAATGAAAATGAAAACACAACCTACTGGAACCTATGGGACACAGCTAAGGCAGTCCTGAGAGGAAAGTTTATAGCCATGAGTGCATATATTAAAAAGACTGAAAGATCCCAAATCAATGACCTAATGATACATCTCAAACTCCTAGAAAACAAGAACAAGCAAATCCCAAAACAAATAGAAGGAGAGAAATAATAAAAATAAGAGCTGAAATCAATGAAATAGAAACCAAAAAACCATACAAAGAATTAATGAAACAAAAGTTGGTTCTTTGAAAAAATAAACAAGATTGATAGACCCCTGGCAAACCTGACTAAAATGAGGAGAGAAAAAACCCAAATTAGTAGAATCAGGAATGCAAAAGGGGAGATAACAACAAACACCATGGAAGTCCAGGAAATCATCAGAGACTACTTGAGAACCTATATTCAAAAAATTTGAAAATCTTAAAGAAATGGACAGATTTCTAGATACATATGATCATCCAAAACTGAACCAAGAGGAAATTAATCACCTGAATAGATCTATAACACAAAATGAAATTGAAGCAGCAATCAAGAGTCTCCCCAAAAAGAAAAGTCCAGGACCTGATGGATTCTCTGCTGAATTCTATCAGACCTTTAAAGAAGAACTGATACCAACCCTCCTTAAACTGTTCCATGAAATAGAAAGGGAAGGAAAACTGCCAAACACATTTTATGAAGCCAGTATTACACTTATCCCAAAACCAGGCAAAGACACCTCCAAAAAGGAGAACTATAGGCCAATCTCCTTAATGAACATTGATGCAAAAATCCTCAACAAAATAATGGCAAACTGAATTCAACCACACATCAAAAAGATTATTCACCACGACCAAGTAGACTTCATCCCAACTATGCAGGGGTGGTTCAACATACAAAGATCAATACACGTAATAAACCACATTAACAGAAGCAAAGACAAAAACCACTTGATCATCTCAATAGATGCAGAAAAAACCTTTGATAAGGTCCAACACCATTTCATGATAAAAGCTCTAAGAAAACTAGGAATAGAAGGAAAGTACCTCAACATTATAAAAGCTATATGTGACAAACCTACAGCCAGCATTATACTTCATGGAGAAAAACTGAAACCATTCCCTCTAAAATCAGGACAAGGATGCCCACTATCTCCACTCCTATTCAACATAGTACTGGAATTCCTAGCCAGAGCAATTAGGCAAGAAGAAGGAATGAAAGGAATACAAATAGGTAAAGAAACTGCAAAATATCCCTATTTGCAGACGACATGATCCTATACCTTAAAGACCCAAAAAACTCTACTCAGAAGCTTCTAGACATCATCAATAGCTACAGCAAGGTAGCAGGATATAAAATCAACATAGAAAAATCATTAGCATTTCTATACACTAACAATGAGCAAACTGAAAAAGAATGTATGAAAACAATTCCATTTACAATAGCCTCAAAAAAATCAAATACCTAGGTGTAAACCTAACAAAAGATTTGAATGACCTCTACAAGGAAAACTATAAACTTCTGAAGAAAGAGATTGAGGAAGACTATAGAAAATGGAGAGATCTCCCATACTCATGGATTGGTAGAATCAACATAGTAAAAATGTCTATACTCCCAAAAGTAATCTACATGTTTAATGCAATTCCCATCAAAATTCCAATGACATTCATTAAAGAGATTGAAAAATCTACCGTGAAATTTATATGGAAACACAAGAGGCCACGAATAGCCAAGGCAATACTCAGTCAAAAGAACAATGCTGGAGGTATCACAATACCTGACTTCAAACTATATTACAAAGCAATAACAATAAAAACAGCATGGTACTGGCACAAAAACAGACATGAAGACCAGTGGAACAGAATAGAGGACCCAGATATGAAGCCACACAACTATAACCAACTTGTCTTTGACAAAGGAGCTAAAAATATACGATGGAGAAATAGCAGCCTCTTCAACAAAAACTGCTGGGAAAACTGGTTAGCAGTCTGCAAAAAACTGAAACTAGATCCATGTATATCACCCTATACCAATATTAACTCAAAATGGATCAAGGATCTTAATATCAGACCACAAACTCTAAAGTTGATACAGGAAAGAGTAGGAAATACTCTGGAGTTAGTAGGTATAGGTAAGAACTTTCTCAATGAAACCCCAGCAGCACAGCAACTAAGAGATAGCATAGATAAATGGGACCTCATAAACTAAAAGCTTCTGTTCATCAAAAGAAGTGGTCTCTAAACTGAAGAGAACACCCACAGAGTGGGAGAAAATATTTGCCAGCTACACATCAGACAAAGGACTGATAACCAGAATATATAGGGAACTTAAAAAACTAAATTCTCCCAAAACTAATGAACCAATAAAGAAATGGGCAAATGAACTAAACAGAACTTTCTCAAAAGAAGAAATTCAGATGGCCAAAAAACACATGAAAAATGCTCACCATCTCTAGCAATAAAGGAAATGCAGATTAAAACCACACTAAGATTCCACCTCACCCCTGTTAGAATAGCCATAATTAGCAACACCACAAACAACAGGTGTTGGCGAGGATGCGGGGAAAAAGGAACCCTCATACACTGTTGGTGGGAATGTAAACTAGTACAACCACTCTGGAAAAAAATTTGGAGGCTACTTAAAACACTAAACATTGATCTACCATTTGATCCAGCAATACCACTCTTAGGAATGTAACCAAAAGACTGTGACACAGGTTACTCCAGAGGCACCTGCACACCCATGTTTATTGTGGCACTATTCACAATAGCCAAGTTATGGTAACAGCCAAGATGCCCCACCACTGATGAATGGATTAAGAAAATGTGGTATCTATACACAATGGAATTTTATGCAGCCATGAAGAAGAATGAAATGTTATCATTTGCTGGTAAATGGATGGAATTGGAGAACATCATTGTGAGTGAGGTTAGCCTGGCCCAAAAGACCAAAAATCATATGTTCTCTCTCATATGTGGACATTAGGTCAAGGGCAAGCACAACAAGGGGATTGGACTTTGAGCACATGACAAAAGCTTTAGCACACAAGGGTCTCACAGGGTTTATTGGTCCAGGAAAGTATTTACCTCTCCTTTTAATTGAAGGATAACCATTCTGGTTATGATATTCTCATTTGGGATTTTTTTCCTTCAGCACTTTGAATTATCATCCCAGGCTTCCTTGGTTTGCAGCATTTCTACTGACAAATCTGCTTATAGCCTCATTAGGGTTGCCCTGTATGTGATGAAATGCTCCTCTCTTGCTGTTGTCAATTTGTTGATTTTCTCTCATATGTAGAATCTAGATATAAAAATACAAACAAAGAAAAGACATGAATATAAGGGGAGGACTGCCTCTGGAGTCAGAGGAAGGGGAGAAGGACAAGAGAGGATGATGGGGAATGAATATGATGAAATTACACTGTATACATGTATGAAAATGTGACAATGAAAACTACTATGCTGTACAATAAAAAACTGACTAGAAAACACAAAAAATTCTTGCATTGTCATTGAATATTCAAATTCAATTATACTATATCTTAGTGGAGATCTCTTTAATTTTTTCCACTTTTATTAAGCTATATTCATGGTACAGGAGGGATTGTGACAATTCTAAGCAGCTTTACATTGTACATTGGTTATATAGTCCCCAATATGTATGCCCCCAAGCTCTTACCTGATTAATTTTTTTATACAGAGTTCTTTTGGCTTTCTGCATTTTGCTGTTCATTTTCAAATCACACATTAGGGATATCCATTTCTTTAGTGATGCTTAGTGGGACATCGTTTAGTTCCATGGGTGCCATGATATTATGCTGACCATTCATGATCCCTGTGGTCATGTATTGGTGTCTATGCAATGGAAGAAATAAGCTCCCATTCTGGGCTTTACAGACAGGTCTTGGCAAGGAAATTCCTTCACCAGCACCCCATCTAGAGACTCCAGGTGACCATGTGCTGGGGCCTACATGTTGACTTGTTGGTGAAGTCCAGAGGACAGTCTTGCCTTATTCTTGGGGCAGCAGGTGGGAGGACCTGGCATCTAGGTCATGGGACAGTCTGATGCTAGGGTCCACTAGATTGGGGCTGCTAACTGGATCTTTTGAGGTGGACCTGGAGGCTGGATCTCTAGACCCAGGATGGCTGAATACTGGATCTACAGGGCCAATCTGAAACTGAGGTGGGATTTAGACTTAATAATTCAGGGCTGGGCTGGAACTGTGGATGCCCAGTGCATGCATGATTCACTGGGTTGGTCCTTGATGACTTGTACAGGGTCTGTACTACAACATGGATAAATGAGGGATGGCCCAGAATTAGGCATAGTGGTGTGGGTAGTCTGAGTCTTCTGCAGCAGCCTGGTTCTTACATTGTTGGCTGAGGCCACAAGACCTCAGGTGACAAAAGCAGTGATCCCTGAGAAATAGGAACCAAAAAGAAATTAAGTCTTAGGATAGTCCCTGATACCAGTTTTGAGAAAATTTCCAGGTTATAGCCCTGGGAAGAGAACTGAGATCCTGAACTTGTCTGAATTGATGAGTTGGAGTAGAGACTCAAAGAGAGTCATGACAGTGAGAGTCCTCAGGAGAGAGTCCTAGAGAGAAGTGAACTACACAGAAGGCAGCTGGAGACCTTCAGAGGGTCCCCCAGTGTTCATCAGAGTTCTGGTCAGCAGTTGCATCTCAGGATATTACCTAGCCTGAGGAATAAATCATACCCAGAAATGAAGAAGTCAGAGAGAAGTTGTGAGCAACTGGGTGGAAATGACTTCATCTAGCATAAAAAGACTCCATATGGGACAGAGCAAAGTCAGGAGTTCATTGTGTCCTCACTGCCCATTTTGAAAATAGAGGCCAGGGTCAAGAAAGATACTGTTGCTGCCTGAAGTGTCTCCTGAAAGCCTAGGGCCTGCCCCAGGATGGGGAAGATAAAAGCCAAGTTCCTCACAGGACAGTTCCCCTTCCTGTGGTGCTGCAGATGTCGCAATTGCATGATGGGAGGAACTCAAATCTCCATGGCCACACCCTGTGTTTCTGTCTGTCCGACAAGGCACTGTGGTCTTACTCTCTGCCAGTGGTGGTCAGTGGGAAGCATCATCATGACCCTCACTGTTATGGCTCTGCTCTACATTGGTAAGATGAGACTAAGGAGGAAGAGACACCCTAGTCTGGGAGGGATCCCACCCCACAGACAGGCTGTGGTCCATCAGGAGAGCCCAGTGACTCAGAAGGCTCTGGGGAGGAGAGGACCTGCTCAGGCTTTAAGAGAAACCTCTCACAGGGAACTCTCTTCCAGGGCTGAGTCTGAACTCCAGGTCTCGAGTGCAGGCAGGTGAGTGTGTCTCCAGATATTCCTTCTCATCAACAGGACATGGGACCACCTTTGGGTAGTGGGGATGGAAAATAGTAGGTGGAGTGATGTTGGGGGATGCCTGGAGGGTCCTGGGGCTCAGAGCTGGGATCTGAGGGGGGTATGACCTGAGACCCAGCATTTGCTTTCCTTTCAGAGACTCTCCCCAAACCCACCCTTTGGGCTGAGCCAAGCTCTCTGATCACTAGGGGGTGGCCTGTGACCATTTGGTGTCAGGGGACACTGGAAGCCCAAGAGTATCATCTATACAAAGAAAGAAGCCAAGAGCCCTGGGACACAAAGGCTTCAGTAGAGTCAGGGAACAAAGCTATGTTCTCCATCCCATTCATGACAGAGCACCATGCGGGGCGATATCGCTGTCACTATTTCAGCCTTAATATCTCTTCAGAACACAGTGACCCCCTGGAGCTGGTGGTGACAGGTGAAGGGAGAAACATGGGTGCTAACCCTAGGCTCTGCCCTCAGGAAGGGGGATGACTTTCTGGGGTGACCCCTTTCACAGACCTGCCCTCCTGTGGGAAATGTGAACCCATTTAATTCACTGACTCCTTCGGTCTTAGGATTCTACAGGAAACCCAGCCTCTCATCCCTGCCCAGCCCTGTGGTGGACTCAGGAGGGTCTGTGACCCTCCAGTGTGGCTCACACCAGGGATATGCCAAATTTATTCTGATTAATGAAAGAGAACCCAATCTCTCCTGGACCCTGGACTCACAGCGACACCCCAGTGGGCAGTACCAGGCCTTGTTCTCTATGGGCCCTGTAACCCCTGGCCACAGATGGACATTCAGATGCTATGGCTATTACAGCAGGACCCCCCATGTGTGGTCAATACCCAGTGACCCCGTGGAGCTTCAGAATTCAGGTGAGGAAGCTCCATCTTTGACACAACAGGTTTTTAAGGTTCCAAGTACTTTGTATTTAGCCCTGCTCCCAGGGATTCCCAGGTGGCTTGGGGGAACTCAAAGACCCTGAGACAGAGACCCAGAGTGTGAGATATAGAGAGACCTGCATAGAATGCTGGGAAGAGGCAGTTGTTTGGCAGGAACCATACCATTAGCTGTGGCTTGTCTTCCCAAAGGAGAGGTCCAAAAAGCATCCAGCAGGATTCTCTCCTGGGCCCTAGAAAGACCTAGACCCTCCAATGTGGCAGTGATACCAGATTAGCCCTGTCCAGATTCCTTAGTGCCCTGGAATATGACTGGAATGTCTTGATGTGTTTGTATATCTATTTCTATCTTTCTATATGTCTGTCTGTCTTTCTACCCACCTGCAATTCATCCATCCCTCCTTCCCTCCATCTATCTATCTATCTATCTATCTATCTATCTATCTACCTATCTTCTATCTTTCTTTCTTTGTTAGTGGGATTTGAACTCATAGCTTCATCTTTGCTAGGCAGGCATTCTATCACTTGGTACATGCTTAGAGCCTGTGAATGCACTTTGTTGAGGATTTTCTATCTATGATTATGAGAGATGTTGATCTGTACTCTTGTATTCTTATAATGTGTGTCTGGTTTTAGTATTAAAATATGACCTCATGGAATGAATTATGTGCAGTGGCCCCACTTCCTGGACCTGTGTGCAGCTGTTTTGGTTAGTTCCAATCTTATGTACTCCCTCTAGTATTTGAACTGAAACTTTCAGGAGGAGGAAAGCCTATCTGGACCCTCCTTGTCATCCTCTCCCTGTCCCCATGCCTGTAAGTGGCTTGATTCTGTCATGGTTTCATTAGAATCTGTGAGGCTCATGCTCTGTCCCCACAGAGGGAGGGGATGTCTCCTAATCCTGTGACCTGAGGTCTCAGCAGGACTCACAGAGCCTGGAGCTCTGAAAGTCACCATTATGGGATGCACTGTCCACATGGTGCCCATCCAGCCCATAGGCTCAGCACATGGTCCCAGGAGACCCCTGGAGTTTGGAATGGAGGGCCACTGAGTGAAGGGTGTATAGAATTCATCCTTCCCATCTCAGGATGGAAATGCACAGTCTTCCCAACTTCATCCATCCCTGATGCTTTCCTAGAATCTCAGATGCAGATATTTGAAGCCATGAGAGGAAGAATGGGGAGAGACCAAAAGTGAATCTGGAAGGAGACAAAGGGCTGTATGGGCAGAGCTGAGACACCCTGAAACCCAGAATTCCCAGCTCCTCTTGGTATCTAGGTCAAACTCTACAGGCTTGTAGCACATGAGGTGCAGTGGACATGCTGGTGTCCTGCCTCTGTCCTTCCTACCTGGTTCTCACAGTCGGTGTGGTTGTCACCACTAGGAACAGAAATTTCCTTATATCCTGACAAGGCGGTAGGAGTCTTTGTCCCCAACTGAGTTCTAGGTATTTGAGAGCCAGGATGGGGTGACTCTTGCCTTCAGTTTTGGAGCAGTATTTGATCCAAGGCAGGTGTGGATCTTGCAGCTTCAACCATCTCAGGCCTCTTGTTCATTATGTGAGACCTGGGGTTTGAACTCAGGTCTCGCAGAGTGCTGGAATGGCGACCAATTGCCCCATGGGAGATAGGCAGGGCCTTTCAAATAAAGTCCAGTCAATCAAAAGACTCAAGATGTCAAGAACAGCCCAAAAGGGTAGGAGAGGCTGCCTAGTCCTTCACTAGCCCTTTCTGACTCCTGGCAGCCCCTGGTTAAGATCAGCTATTCACCTGCAGAAGTGAGCTCCCCATAGTTAAGTTATCTGGAAACTGTGCCATTGGGAAGTACCCAAGGGGAAAGGTTCCATCCAGGAATCTGGGATGTTGCCTCTACATCAGGTGTCCCAAGCTTGGTCTTGTTCACCTGTAGTGATCCCTCCACCATGTCCTTCCCTTCCAGCTTCCACCTTCCAGAACTACATGGTGTTGAATGGTGTCCGCATGGGTCTGGCAGGGGTGGTCTTGTTGATCCTGGTGGTGATTCTCGGAGAAGCTTGGCACAGCTCATGGAGACCAGAGAACAGCAATCAGAAACCTTAGATTCCTGAGCCCCAAGAAGGACACACCCAAGTTCACTGTGGCTCTTACTGGCAACCAAGGATACTTTGCAACCAAGGATGCAAAGTATGAATTCACACAGATGGTTCCAATCCTGATGTGACATTACACAATCTTTTCACCTTTATGGTACGCTGTGTCTCATGGTTGAAACCCCAGGTCCTCATAAATTTATGTATTTGCTGTGTTTTGTTCAATTTTTTGTGGTTGTGTTCTTCAACAGAAGTAAACTTAGTATATTATATTTGTTTTAGTTGTCTTTGGGTGTGTTTTTTCACCTTTTACAACTTCATTAAGTGTCTTGGAATACAAATATCATTTCTGGTTCACAAAGTCACAGCTACACAAAATGACTCACATGGAGACTTCCCACATCACCCTACACCCCTCATCCTGGATGTAACTTTCTTTATTGGTTTCTGATTTTTAAAGTGAAAATGATAAGCGAAAGCAAGGACACATACACATAGCCTTATATCATCTGCTTTCTTAAAACAATATGTATTGTTTTATATATAAATCTGTATAATAATTCCACAGACTGTATTCTTTTTTGAGGATTCTGACTTGTTGCTGAAAGAAATTACCACAAATGTAGTAGCTTGAAACAGCACAGATTTATTACCTCATAACTGTGGAGGGGAGAATCCTGACAGATTCCCCTGGTCTAAATTTGAGGTGGTCAGGGACTTACTCCTTTTTGGAGGCTTGGGAGGATGATCTGTGTCCTGGTCTTTTTCAGCTTCCAGAGGCCACTGAGGCCCATAGCTAATGGCTCTGGACCATGTTTCATCACCAAATCACTCTTGAACCCTCACCCTCTGTCTCTGTCTTCCACTTTAAGGACTCCCTGTGATGACATTCAGAGCCCAGCTTGATAATCCAAGATGGGCTCTCTCCAACTCAAGGACCTTACTTAGCCACATCCACAAAGTCCCCGCTGTCAGAATTATGTCATTCACAGTTTTGGGAGCTCCCATGGACAGTTTAGTGGGGCCAACAGACATCTTTTCAGTTGTGTTCAATTGATAGTATGAGGAATGGGATGAGGGATTGTAGATGCAGCAGAGAAAACCAGAGTCTAGTACATGTTTGTAAAGATCCAACTGAGGGCAGAGTTGATTCACTATGGAAAATATAGCACCTTCTGGTACTTTGGGGATTCATCCCATGTCTTGGCAATTTCCCCAATTGATCAACACTAAATCCACTCAGAAGTTATCCCAAATTTAGGAGCTCTTCTCATGGTTTCAAATCATGTTAGATAAAGTCCTCACACAGAAGATGAGAAACATATGTGCCTCCTGGAGGAGGGATGCTGTCCATGTGACTCTGAGAACTGTGGAGCTGTAGCTCAGACCCAGCATGGAGTCCTCAGGCTCACAAAGGGACATGCAGTGGAGTGATAAATGTATCTCCCATTTGACGGTTAGTGCTCCTTTGCTTTCTGAACATTCAGACATTTATTCTATATTTGCATCAAGTCAGTCCTGCTTCCTCTATCCTTCCCATCCTATGTTTCATTTCTGTAGTTAGAAGATCCTGTCATCCTTTGAAGAAGAGAGCTGAGAACTGAGTAGGTCACTCCTGCAACAGACCACAGTCCACACCATCCCAGGCCACAGCCATTGAACTGGGGCTCATGGGGGCTGGGCAGCCACAGAACTCAACACAGCAGTGTGTGAGGGTGGAACTTCGTGTGTGTTTTGTGTCATTTAACTTTAAAAATTTTAGTTTTGAAATATTTTTATTTCTTTCTTTCATGTTTAATGACAAATAATTGTATATATTTATGGAGTACAAAATTGTGTTATAAATATACAATAGCATGATTATATCAAGGCAATTTACATATCCATCCACATACTTATTTCTTGTGGTGAGAACATCTGCAAGCTACTCTTCTAGCAATTTTGAAATATACAATACATTGTAATTAACTGCAAACTCTGTGGTGAGCAATGGACCTCAAACTTATTCTCCTGTCCAATTGAAACTGTGTAGTCTTTGGTCAACATCTCCCTGTCCCCATCCAATCCAACCTAAAGCCCCATCCTCCACTATCCTCTCTGCTTCCCGAGTTTGATTTTTTTTTTCAATTCCACACATCAGTGACACAGTTTGGGATTTGTCTCTCTGAGTCTGCTTATTTCACTTCTGAAGGCAGCTGTGTGAGAGGTAGACAGAGATAGGCAGGGGTTACATTCTTGGACCCCTATGTGTGTAGTTACATATAGAAGAGAGAACAGACTAATATGGTCAGGAACAGAGACAGAAGAAACATGAAAGAACATTCTGGAAGTCCAAGGACAATGACCAAAGTGCCTCCTACCTTAGCTTGTCATCTGTCTCCAACACTTAACAGTTTCCTTTGGAAACCCTGGATTGGTAAGAAGAGTTTATTTTTACTTTTTAAGAGTTTTTGCGGTGCTATTCACAACAGCCAAGTTATAGAAACAACCAAGATGCCCCACTACTGATGAATGGATCAAGAAAATGTGGTACTTTTACACAATGGAATTTTACTCAGCCATGAAGAAGAATGAAATCTTATCATTTGCAGGTAAATGGATGGAGCTAGAGAACATCATTCTGAGTGAGGTCAGCCAAGCTCAGAAGATCAAAAATTGTATGTTCTCCCTCATATGTGGACTTTAGATCTGGGGCAAATGCAGCAATGTGGTTGGACTTGGATCACATGATAAGTGGAGAGCACATTTTGGTGATATAGAAATAGATAGAAAACCCAAAACATGAAAGCGTTTGATGTCCCCACTCTAGAGGAACTAATACAGAAACCTTAAAGCAACGGAGGTTATCATGAGAAGGGGATCAGTAACCAGGTAAAGATCAATTAGAGATGAATCAACATGGGTCATAACACGTGTACACGAAAGCAATGCTAGGAATATTTCTGTATAGATATCCTCAACTCAACCAGCAAAAATACTTTGTCTTCCTTATTAGGCTTGTCTCTTTCCTTCAACAAAATTAGTGATAAAGGCAGAACACAACCTGCCTGGAACTGAGGGGGGAAGAGGGAAGTGTGTGGGAGAGGGGGGCAGGGGGGAGAAATGACCCAAATAATGTATGCACATGTGAATAAAAACTAATTTTAAAAAGAGTTTTTAGTTTTTAATTAATTTTTTATTAGGATATAGCCTTTGAATGGAGGGGATTCATTGTGACAATGAATATAGTGTACATTGCTTAGATGATCCCCACCATTTCTCCCCCTTGACCCTCTCCCCGCCCCATTTAAAGCAATTGCAAGAAGTTTCTTCATTCTATTTTATCTAAGTATATGAAGTCCATCAACCATATTCCCTCATCTTAAACTCCTTTGTTCATCACCTCCCCCATAAAAGTGCCCTCACAACACTGCACCTATTTTACAGTCTTGTATTTCATTATTAATTTCGAAGGTGATGTTCAAAGGGGTTTTGCAGTGTATCTCTGAGGTGAGTCTACTTTACTTTGGTCTATTCAACCCCTTCCATTACTCTCCCCTTCCCCTTTACCCCCCCATTTTTCAACAGCTTTCACTAAACATCCTTATATCTTGTACCTTCACAGGTGTTGTGTCTTACAATAGATAGAATGATAGATGCTCTATCATTCTCTTTTCCTTTTCCTCCTTCCCCGAGTTCCATAGCATTGTTCTATTAGAAACATGTTCTATGTATTTGTTTTTGTGTATATATTTATCTTTTGGATCTATCTTCCATATGACAGAAAACATGTGGCCTTTGTCTTTCTGAAACTGGCTCACTTCACTTAACATGATGTCCTCCAAATGCATCCACCTTCAAAACACATTGTGTCATTATTCCTTATGGCTGGGTAAAGTTCCGATGTGTATATGTGTATCACATTTTCTTGCTCCATTCATCAGTTATAGGGCATCTAGGTAGTTTCCATAGCTTGGCTATTGTGAACAGTGTTGTGATAAACATCAGTGTGTAGTGTGTCTCTACTGTATCCTGACTTACATTCCATCAAATATATGCCCAGAAATGATATCACTGGATTGTATGGTAGTTCTGTAATTAGTTTTTATTTATTTATTTATTTTTCATTTTTCTTTTATTATTCATATGTGCATACAAGGATTGGTTCATTTCTCCCCACTGCCCCCACCCCCTCCCTTACCACCCACTCCGCCCCCTCCCTCTCCCCCCCCAATACCCAGCAGAAACTATTTTGCCCTTATTTCTAATCTTGTTGTAGAGAGAGTATAAGCAATAATAGGAAGGAACAAGAGTTTTGCTGGTTGAGATAAGGATAGCTATACAGGGCATTGACTCACATTGATTTCCTGTGCGTGGGTGTTACCTTCTAGGTTAATTCTTTTTGATCTAACCTTTTCTCTAGTACCTGTTCCCCTTTTCCTATTGGCCTCAGTTGCTTTGAGGTATCTGCTTTAGTTTCTCTGCGTTAAGGGCAACAAATGCTAGCTAGTTTTTTAGGTGTCTTAACTATCCTCATCCCTCCCTTGTGTGCTTTTGCTTTTATCATTTGAGGAATCTCCATACTGCTTTCCATAATGGTTGTCCTAATTTGCATTCCCACCAACAGTGTATGAGGGTTCCTATTTCACTGCATCCTTGCCAGCATTTCTTGTTTTTGCTCTTTGCTGTTTTTCTCACTGTGGTAAGAAGAAATCTTAGTGTTGTTTTGATTTGCATCTCTTTTATAGCCAGGGAAGTTGAACACTTCTTCATTCATTTATTGACTATTCGTACCTCTTCATTTGAAAATTCCCTATTCAATCCATGTGCCAATTTCTTCATTAGGATGTTGTTCTTTAGGGATTGAGTTCTTTCAGTTCCCTGTAGATTCTGGATATTAGTCCCTTATCAGATGAATACCTGGCAAAGATTTTCTTCCATTCTGTATACTGTATCTTGAGTTTAGTGACTGTTTTCTTGTTTGTGCAAATCTTTTTCAGTTTTGATTGCAGTCCATTTGTTCATCTTCTTTCTTTAGTTGTTGAGCCAGTAGAGTTCTGTTTAGGAATTTGTTTCCTATGGCTATATGTTCTTGTGTACTTCCTACTAGTTTCTGTAGTAGTTTCAAAGTTTCAAACCTTATATTAAGGTCTTTGATCGACTTTGAGTTGATTTTGGTGTAGAGTGAAAAATAGGGATCTAGTTTCCATCTTCTGATGTGATGCAGTTTTTCCAGAGCATTTTGGTGAGAGGCTGTCTTTTCTCCTATTTGTGTTTTGGCTTCTTTGTCAAAGATCAGTTGCTGTAGATGCGTGGTTTTAGTCTGCATCTCTTTTCTGATTCCATTGGTCTCCTCTCTGTTTTTGTATGCAATACCATCTGTTTTTTTATTGTTATGGCTCTGTAGTATATTTTGAAGTTGGATATTGTGAGACCTCCAGCATTGAACTTTTTGCTCAGAACTGCTTTGGCTATTTGAGGTCTTTGTGTTTCCAGATGTATTTCATG